GTAAAAGCCGGAACGGTGCAGGAAGGCCGCGTGGCCGGTGCAACGCGGTGCCACGACGCCACAAGCTGTTGCAGCTCTCGAACTGTTTGACATCCTACTCGGCCAGGTGGCCCTCGTGAGCACAACCTGCTCTCTGCGTGCACCTCAGGTGTAGACCGGAGGGTTAATGAAGGTCACCCACTCTTCCCAACAGCTCGCACAGGGACAAAAAGACCAGCTGGGATGTGTTCGCAGTAGTAACCGTTGGGGACCTCGTTTCCTTTCGCTTTCCCGCTTTTTCTCTTTGTTTTTCCTGCAGACACAGAAAGGGACAGCGGTGGGTCAAGTGGAGAAACCACGCCTATGTGTGGGTGTTCCTCTAATTTCGTTGACGCTACCATCTTGGACAGTAGATTGGAGAGGCCTGCTGCACACCATCAACCACTCCTTTTCCTCCTACACCGGCAGAGTGGTCGGTAACGTCCTACTCGCCATTGCCATTCGGGAATACGAAATCTGTAGAACGAATTAGTGGGCTAATTGGCGATTATTTTACGTTCCTTGCCCACAGATTTGTGCCTGATTCCTGTTTCGATCGATAGGCGCTGAAGCCCATAAATCCTCATCCGCAAGATCTTGAAAAAGGAACAAAATGGCGGCTCGTTCTCGGTACTTGGCCACGACCACCTACATGGCCACTCCATCTGCCACGATCGTAGGCACTCCCTTTGTCCGAATGTCACAAACTTCCATGCTTCGATTAGGCGCTACTTCGCGAGGCATCTCCTCCTCCGGTACCACTTCTCTCATCTCTCGGTTATTTATTTGAGACATGCATTTATTTTACGTTCTTCATCCAAACGCTGGCGCCTTCGAAGCCGTTGCCCTGGCGCTTCCTCGCGGCACCTCTGGCAGCTGTGCATTCCTTCTGGGTCCTCACGCCGCCGCCAGCTGGCGAAGGTACCCAAGTCAAGCCTCTCTCTTCAACAACACAAGCTGTACAGCTCAAGGTGAATTGCAATGTGTTCACACTCTTATCGGACACGACACACACAGAAGCGGACGCTCGTCCGCCACTGTGCTCCAGTGGCCCGGAGCGGGTTCGTCGGCCGCAGCAGGAAGACTACGCGTGTCGGAGGCCGCCTGCGCGCGATACTACGCCACGGGTGGCAGTCTGCCCGACAGCAATCAATCGCCCAAGGCGGTGTCGGCGGAGGACAAGGAGGCGGTGCCCAAGAAGACGCTGGTGGGCCGAGCGGTCCACTCCACCAAGAAGGTGGTGACGTTCATCAAGGAGGGCATTCACCACTACTGGCTCGGCTCCAAGCTGCTCGCCCTCAACGTGCGCACGGCCTTCAATATCGCCGTGCGACTCAAGAACGGCCACACCCTCACGGTACGTTGCTTGCTCAGCGCCTCTGTGCGCGTGCTGTCATGGTGCGCGTGCGGGCGCGCCTGGGTCTGTGCTAATAACGAGCGCAATTGTTGCACAACATTCTTTATCGCAGCGACGAGAGAGGCAACACATGATCAGGACGACGGCCGACCTGTTCCGACTGGTCCCCTTTGCGGTGTTTGTGATCGTGCCCTTCATGGAGTTTTTGCTGCCGATCGCCCTCAAGATTTTCCCCAACATGCTGCCCTCGACCTTCCAGGTAACTTACTCGGCGCCCCGCCCATCCTGCGATCGCAGCTCTGATCTGAGTTAACCAACGCACAATTTTGTAATTCTTTTTTATTTTATTTTTATTCTATATTTTGCTTCTTATTGTTAGGACACGATGAAGAAGGAGGAGGACATGCGGAAGCAGCTGCTGCTCAAGCTCAAGATGGCCAGCTTCCTCCAGGACACCCTCCAGGAAATGGCTGAGACCGGAGAAACTCATGTATGCGCACCTCTTCTTGCGCGTGTCG